CAAAATTTGGCCAATACACACACACACACACACATGCCGCATATCTAAATAGTTGTTTCGTTGCTGTTATTGTGGCATTTTGTTAAGCTTTTTATTAGAGCTGGTAGCGCCAGCAGCCGTCCAAATGTTCAAAAATAAACAACAATTTAAGTGTACAATAAAATGCACATTTACAAATATGCGAAACAGCTGCTGGAAAAAGCGCGAGCCAAATAAATATTTAGCAGCAAACGTCATTTTATTTAATTCATATTCAGCTTCGCACTACCCAAATATGTGTCGGCAGAGCGCACATAAATTATTAAACGAACAAAGAATTAGCCAATAAGTGTTATAATTGATAAACAAATGTGGTGTTGGTCTTGGTTTGAATGAAAGTTGAAATGTGCCGTATGGTTGAATAAAATTTATATTTATTCAAGCCTACTAAATGCTGTACATATATGCAAAAATATTCCAACAATTCCGTACGAGAAATTTCAGTTTCGTTTTATTTTAGTATTTTTGTTTTTATTGTTTTTTTCTGTTTTTGTTTTTTTGCCGTGTGCCGCCTTTTTGATTTTGCTGGCATTTCGAGACTCTATGTTTAGACATCTATTTATGCGAAAAATCGATGCAGACGATAGGCAGGAATTTGTAAAAATATCTCACTTGTTTCCTAAACTAGGAATAGGCATGTATTAAAGTGGTATTTTACCTTTTGAACCATTTAAAGTAATAACCAGAATAGAGGAAGATAGAGGTTAAAAAAAGCTGTTGAAAACAAATTGGAAATTAATCTGTTAATCTTAGACTGTGATCTTGAAGAAAAATCTATTTTTGCAGCTGCTAGAAAAACCGGTTGAAAAATTAGACCAAACATCACTTCAATAAATTCCATAAAAACCAGGTCTATAATTGATTAAAGCATAGCAATAAACAAACTTAGATCACTTTTGCCTACTTTTTTTTATATAATATATTCTTGTAATTAAAATGGAATAATTATCGATGTATTACATTTCAAATCGGTTTGAGTGATTCATATTCAAATCTAAAGATAAATGTTAATTTCTTTATCAGGAAAAAGTTGATGTCTAGATTGTGTGTCACATGGATGATTCATGGTGAAAACCTGCCCTGAATGCCAAAATGTGGCCCAACGGCCAATCAAATGTACTTCTAGATACATATGGGACAATATATGCGGTATAGGAAAGATATATATAAGAGTACTTAATTAGTCAGCATGACAATAATATAAACTGATTATGGGCTGCCATATATAATATTATACAACACTCAACTAATGCGTGTTAGACGCGTTTTCGTATCAATGATCAGCCGTGTGATAAGTGAAACTAAAGTACAGATTTAAAAGTGAATCTTATTTACATAGTTGCCGCAGTAGATTTTCATTTCGCTTTCCACAGAAAATGTTATCTTTTTTTTTTCTAATTGCTGCACTTATATATTTTCTAAGGCGCAGTTCATCACAAAACACATACACAAAATCATCATATCCATCATCATCATCAGCATCAAAATAATGTTGATGGTTTTTGTTTCATGCGACTGCCAACAAGAACAACAACAATAAACAACAACAAAAACAAACAGCAGCAGGCCAGAGTCGAGTCGAGTTGTCAGTTTCAATTAAAATCAATTGAGCTCAATTATTTGATACGCAGATGAAATAAAAAACCCGCGCGCCACAAGTTTCTGTTTTCATATTGGTGCGGGGGCTTCGCTTTTGGTATGCGGCCCTCAAAAAATGCTAAGAATAGGGGCGTGGCTAGAAAGAATTTACTCGCTGTAAACACTGTAAGCCGTATGCAAAAAGAGAAACCCGAGGCACAGGTGTAAACAGCAAAAACAACAGACACAACAACAGCAGCAACAACAACAACAATAAAAGCAGTTACGAACATGGCAACAAGACAAGAGCCGCAAACAGAAACAAAAACAAAAACGGGTGTAAAGTGACTTTTTGCACTTGCTTGTTACATATACCCAGTTAACTCTAACAAAAGGGGTATAATGTTGTTAAAGGCGAGCGATGATTAACTTTATTCAGCTTTAATAATCTTTAAAAGTTCAGTTAATAAAGTGTAATAAGCCATTCTAACTCAGATGATATATGAGCTAATAAGATTTGAAAAAAGAAAGTTATAGATAAATCTGATTTTAAATTGGATAACTAAAATATATTATGTATATGCGGGTAACATTTTTACATAATAATAAATTAGTTACGCACGCATATATTGAATTCTATCTTAGGGTATTTTGTTGTGTGCACTTTTTCTCGCACGCAAAACTGTTACTTGTTTTGACTTCAGTTTTTGTTCAGTTGTTATTCTCTGTATAATAAGCCACAAGAAAAACAGATGTTACCGACAACAACAACAACAATAACAGCAGCAACGGCAGCCAGTTGGTCAGTTGTGGTTTAGCAGCAAGGGTTAAGAAACGAAAACAAAAACAAAGCGAACGATGCGTTTTTACATTGGTTATTCGATGCCAGACAAAAGACAACAGCAATAACAGTAGGTGTAGGTGTGCGTGTGTGTATGTGTGTGTGCTTTTGAGCGGATGTTTGAGTTGAGTGCACAGCTACCGAGGCGCAACGAAATTAATCGAACTCTATGCGCACGTTATGCTCCAAACACGAGCCACATGCACATACACACACACACGTATATATACATATATATATATGTATATATGCACAGTGCCGGCCACATATTTAGAGAAGTCTTAGGAAAATCAATTAGCAACTTGAATTCAATTTACAAATCGTTTATCGAGTATGAACTTACATCAAACTTGGCTCATAGTTTGATCAACTTTGCAATGTTTATAATTTTACAATAAATACATGGATCATAGTATATAAACGTGATAGTTTTTCATTAAATAAATAAAACGCCAAATAAAAATGAGTGTGTCTAATAATCCGCCCGCCACTGTAAATGATGTATGTGTAGTTATCTGGCAACTTGACACGTTTCGGTCTGCAAGCAAAGACTGAGGGGGTGGGGCGTTGCGACGGTTGGTGGAGGAGGCTCGGTCATTTTCATCGGTTTTGGCATTGCGCTTTGGCAGCTATGAAATGTGCCATAATCGTGCGCAGTCGCAGCGCGAATCTTTGGCTGAAGACGTGAGGCACATAATAATAACAGTACTCGTTATATCGTATACATATAACATACAGAGACACACATACACCTCGTCATCATCATCATAATGAGAAAGCTTGCCCAAAATAAAAATAAAAAAATACACATATTAATGTGTGTAAATAGTAGGTATATAAAAATGAAAAGAAAACAATCTACTGCTGCACGTAGAAATCAAGAAAGAAGAAAAGTTGAAATTGAGCGAAAAAAATTGACGAGCTGACAATACTCTGTAATAGATGTAAAAATCCCCTTATTATTATTAAGTGTTCGATTTCCAACGTGATCTTTGAGACAAGATCCTAAGATCACATTGAAAAAGAACAGCTATTCTTATGGGAAATTTTAAAGTTGAGTAAATTTTCCTTTTTGTAAGAAACAAAATGATGGAAATTCACTTCTGCATATGCCAAGAATTATTATTGTGCACTGCTGCACTTCCTATACGATTATTGTGTACAGTCTTCAGGGTAAAAACTGATTTTCAAGGTAAGGGTTGCTTTCAAAATCAAAGAAAACATGTTTGGGATCTTGTTCAATTGAATAACACATACAAAATTCCCTTAATATAGGGAATTTAAATTTGCGAGAAAAGTAATAAGACCCGTTTTACTTATTTTGCATATAGTTTTGCGAAAAATAAAGTTTGCGATAGCGGACAGAAAAAATGAAAGGCCGTTGCAACAGGAGCTTAAAATTTTTTTTATTTTATTTTTTTGGGAAAGTAACGAGGCAACGATGGATAGTAAGACGAAGGGAGGACAGGGGGCAACTGGAACTGCTGTCGGCGAGTTCAATGTCAACGGCGTGGGCACAGTTTTTTTATTTTCATTTTATGAATTTGTTTTATTGCCATTTCCGTGGCGTTGTGTAAAGGAAGCCCGCAATGGAAAACAATTTATAAAAAGTACGGCCACACCTAAGCCTAAGCCTCGAAAAACAAGTAAAAGCACAAAACAAAAATAAAAACGGCATGAAAAGGCAGAAGGAGTAGAGGCAGCAGCAGTCAGGCGGCATTTCCAGCGCGAAATGGGGTGGAATGTGTTAAACAGATAGAAAGGAAAGACAGACAAAACCAGCGTGGGGGAGGGGGCAGTGAGGGGAGCAGACAGAGAAGGCAAGCTGCCAGGCAGCAGGCAGCATATGGTGGAGTTGTCTCAGGTGTGTGTGTGTGTGTGAGTGTGACCAGCAGGGTGACATTAATGTAGTGTAAGAGCAACAAAATAATACATGTACACACACACACATGCAGCCACACATGTAATTTTCCCTTTTACAAGCACAACAACATTATGCGAGCGGCGATCCATGCGTGGGAATAGGAGACACACACACACTCACACACACAGGCAGTAAGAGTGAGAGGACAGAGGCGGCGACAAAAACGAATGACGAAAGCGTACAAAGCAACTGCGGAAGGGGGTGAGGGATTGCAAGGGAAGCTGTTGACCCCCTAAATAGGGCGTTGTTGTAATACTCGCTAACTGTAATCTTCTATTTTTTTTGGCACACAATTCGCGTCTGATGGGAAAACGATAAAACAATAACACAATTAACAATGCGTGAGAGCAGAAACAGCAGCAGCAAGCGGCAGCAAGAAGCGTCTTTTATTTATTATGCCTTTAACAATACACACATACACTGACACACATTTTTAAATAGAAGAAGAGATACTTTTCTGCTGCTGCTGCGGCCGCTGTTCGCAGCATATCTTTTTCTTTTGCTTTTCACACACACACACATGCACAGACATTCACACACACTCAAATATATATATATATAGACAGACATGCGAGTTTTCCTGGACAGCTTATAAGAGGTTGACAGAATGAAACACACCTTAATTGCACATTGAAGCACTTGTTTTGTAATTGTAATTATATTACAACATTTCAAGCAGTTTTCATTAGCGTTTTTGCAGTTTTAGTTGGGGAAACGCGACAAACAATAATGCGACGCAGGCACGACCAACCAACGAACCGACAACGACGGATTAAAAAGTGCTACTGGCTGCAGTGTGACCAAGCTGCGCATCAAACGATACCTCTCAGCATTATCGCTTAAGAGACGTGCATACTATCGACGTTAATCGATATTCAAAGTCAACGCGATAGGCAGTATTTTAAATATTTTGTATTCTGGTACTATTGCCAAATGCGGCTATACTTGTGCATGGTGTAAACAAAAAAAAATAGCCACCAAAATGAATCCGCTAACAAATATGCGAAATGTCTTAAAATTGAGCGAACTTGAGCTGAAAACTCCAAGTGCCAAGAGCTGGCATGATATGTACAGAGATTCTGCATGGATATTCGTTGCCGGCTTCCCCTACACACTCTCCGAGGGCGACCTCGTCTGTGTGTTTTCCCAATACGGCGAAGTTGTCAACATTAATTTGGTGCGCGACGGAAAAACGGGCAAATCGAAAGGATTCTGTTTCCTCTGCTACGAGGATCAGCGCTCCACAGTGCTGGCTGTGGACAATTTAAATGGCATTAAAATCATGGAACGCACTCTGCGTGTCGATCACGTGCTCGACTACAAACCGCCCAAGGACAACGAAAAACTGGACGAGGAAACCTTACGGCTCTACATGGAAGGATGTGCGCCGAAGCCTGTGAGCAAATTGCCCATTGTTGAGCCTCGAAAGGAGCCCAGCTCCGACAGCATCATAAAGGAACGCACGAAGCGCAGCAAAAGTTCCAAAGAGAAGAAGCACAAAAAAAGACGCAGCAGCTCCGATTAAATTTAGAACTACAAATAGTTAAATTACGTAATTAAAATAATAAAAAGGTGTTTAGAGATTTTATACAAATTGATGTAAAAATGTACTTTAGTCAGTAATCAAACGAAATGCTTAGAATCATGATGTATTTATATGAATCGAATTAAAGTAATCACGATTTTTAAGATTTCTGCAAGAAATCAAAACAATTTGAGAAACGCTTCAAGTTTAAAAGACTCACAATAATGAATATGTAAATATATTTTGAATTTGGATTTGAATTTGAAGAAGTTTCTTTTTTATTATACTTACAGAACTTAGAATCATTTTCAATTTAAAGAAATATTCAACTCATTTATTTGATTGCAACTGAATCATTTTCAGTAATCTAGATGAATAAATATATTTTTAAAGTTGAATTTTTTTATGAACAAAGGATTAAAGTTTCAATGGCAAAACCAATTTGGTTATTTTTAATGAAAAATGTTCAGTTGAAGTTGGTCAATTAAATGTTATACATTTTATTCAATTCAAAGAATTTGATCTAGATCTAGATAAATAAGTGAATGCTTTAAAGTGCTTCTTCTACGAACTAAAGACTAAATATTCGAATACAAAAACAATTTGCTTTGCCGCTCGGTGCAGTAAATAAAAATAATAGATTGTAATACACGGTATATGATTATTATTTGTTTAGTTGCTTGATGATCAATTCAATCGCTAATGTTGCCATGTTCACTGGCACTCTCAAAGCACGGCTCAGACTCGTCCGAATCCTCCGAGTCCTCGGAGTCGAGTCCTTCGACTTCGCGCAGAATGCGGCGCTTGTAACGCTCGTAGGCGCTGCCCTGACGATCCACGTTGCAGAAGTCGATGTCATCGACAAAGGAGTCATCCGCCTCGGTGTCGATTGTGTGAATATACGGATCCTGGAATGTGTTGTAATCATCGGCGTCACTCGAGCCGCTGGCGAACTCATCCTCATCATCATCTACAATAATAGATAAGTAACTTAATGTTGCATTTGTAATTAAAATCCATTGCCATCATACCGAACATAAATTTATTCATTTGCTGGCAGAGCTCGTCGTCCGAGCCCATTGCACCTGGCTCATCGTCATCGGGATAATCGTTTGCGTAGTAGTTCTCCTGATTGGAGTCCTCGGAGTCGTAATCCTCGTCCCCATCATTGAAACAGTCCTCAAAAACGATCTCGTCCACCGGACGCAGACTGCGAAAGTAAAAGTGATTTGTGTGTTTTTGAGTTGGTTTCTTTTTCTTTTCTTGTTTACATGAATTGAAACACATTGGAATTTAATGAATATACTTTATTCAAGCTTAACTAAAACTACGCACTTAATTCGACTTTAGCACAAGAATTGTGGAATGACTTAAATCGATGCGGAAACTTAAAAAACTGGCAACTGGCAACGAATTCGGGGCATTTTGGGGCAAAGTAAAAAATGTTTGAAAAAAAGAAACAATGAGAAAATAATATTTGTATGCAAGAAAAGGCGAAAAACTAAAAGCTAATTAAGTTGAGGAAACTTAAAGCCCCCGTTTGGTTTTTTGATCTGTGATGCGTGCAGTTGAGGAGAAGGGGGGCGGGGCGTGGTGCGGCTTATCACATCGTATATAGTTGTAGTCGTTGTTGTTCTTGTTATTGTGGCTGTTGTTGTTGTTATTGTGGCTGTGGTTGTTGTACTTGTTGCTGTTGTGTTACCAGTAGCAGTTGTTGTAGTAATTAAACGGATAATACAACCTTATATAGAGAATCAGACGAATTACATTTGCGCATTATTGGAAAAATCTCAATTTCTTACTTAATTTAAGATAAATGATTTAGAGATGGGCGCGTGTTGCAAATAATTCAAATGGGACACGAACACGATTTTCATTCTTCATTTTTTCTTTCTTAATATTTACATGTTTATTCGTCATTGTTTGATATATATATATATATATATATATTTATATATAGAAAAAGTAACTCGCTTTTAAGTCTGCATAAATTACATTTATTAATTATAATACGTAAAATTATTTTTGTGTATTTTGATTTGTAGACACATAAACTAAATCTAGATTTGAGCTTTTTTGTATCTTAAAATGGAATATTACAATTTTTTTTGTCATTTTGTTATTTTTACTTCTTCTAATTTTAAATACAACAATTTCGAGTGCGTTGAATATATTAAAATGTTTTACTTTTCTTCGCAAGAGTGGAAAAAGAGATTTGCATAAATTATAGTTAACAGCTAATTAGAATTAGCTATGGAACCGTAACGTTTTAGTTTTGGAGAGATTGGATTAATATAATGATTTCAATTATTATATATTAAGCTTTTTTTAATTTGGATAACATTAAATTTTTAAATATAGAATATTGTTTTTGGCTAGATACCTATACAATTATCTGTGGTTAAGTCGTGTCTGATTTGGATTTTACACGCGTCCAACTTTAGCATGAGGGACAAACACAAAAGCGCACACACACACACACACACAGACACACACACACTCAGGCACACACACTCGCACACACATATTACAATCGATTAGGCCCAAAAAAAAAGGAGAAAAATGATTTGGCCACTCTACATGTAGAAATTGGTGATGTTGAACATTTGCTGTTCTTCAATGTGTAGGACGAACCTTAAATAGTTGTCGTCCAACATATCAACATAGTCCGCCTGCGTCTCATTCTCCGGCACATACAGATCGTACACATAGCCAATATCCGAATCTGCCGGCTGTTGGTGCGCCTCCAATGGCGACTGAGGCGCTGTTTGTTGCGTCTGTTGCGACTCAATGTCCACAATTGTTATTTGTTTCTTCTCAGTCGGTTGTTGTGGGCAGCTGCTGTTGCTCATGTTGCTGCTGCTGCCAGCTGCATTTGCAGCAGCTGCTCCGTTTTCTCCTCCATTTTCCTCCTCGTCCTCGTGGAGCGCTGTGCGCAAACAGTTCACCACACGATACCGTTGCTCGCGCGCTGTTTGTTGCGCCTCCTGTCGCTGTTTGTCGCGCCTCTGCGCTGTGGCAATTGCCGGATCATTCGTTTGCCGCAACAGCTCCTTGGCCGACTCCTTGTTGAGGCGGGCGGCCGCAAACTTTTTAGTCGCACTGTCATCCTATGGAATATTATGATGATGATGATGACCCATTTCTGTTGTTGTACAAACAGCCTTCCCCTCCCTCGTTACAACCCCCTTGCACTTACCTGTTTTTCAAGCGTGCCGGCAAATTTGAGGATTACTTGACTCGATTCCTCTTTGTTGTCTGTCGTCGTCGTCGTCGAAGCGGGCGCATTTTCATCGTTAAGCAAACGGCGGCGTTTGCCATTAAGTACAAAGGCCGAGTGGGGCTCCTCGTCAATGCGACGCTTTATGCGCACCACAGCCGGCATATTTATTTGTTTATATTTATGGCTTGATTGTGCGATTGCTTTATTTTATTGATTGCTCATCTGTGTTGGAATTTATTGGCGAAAAAAGTCGACTCCTTCACTGCGTACTGAAAATGTGCTACTAACACAGTGTGGCCGCAGGCAGCAAGTGATGGAATACTAAAAATACCAAAGCGATAACAATGCAGTTTGTACAACTGAGCAAGCTGACCATCTTTTGGTATTGCAATTACGACTAAATTCAAAAGTTGTTAAATTGAGGAATATCTTGCAAATTTCATGCAATTTTATTACGTACAAAATGTAAATAAAATATGGTTGCAGCTGTTAATCCCATTTTAATGTTTCAAAGTAAAAAAGTTGGAAGAAAAGTAAACTTGAAGGACAACCTGCAACAAATCAAAAAAAAAAACAAGTTAAAGAAATGAAGCACTGAAAATAGCCTTCAAAACGAAATCGCTGTCAACGAAAATGAAATTCAGAACATGCGCGCTTAAAGTCTGCGACGGCACTGTTAACTAACAGTGGCGCTTGCAATGCTCTCCCAAAAAAGTATGCTAGGCTTATGTACGAAAGGGACAAATGTTAGGTAGTCGATTTGTGTACGCCGCGGTCTGCAGTCGTGTGTGTGTATTGCATTCGCGCGCGCGTCTTGGATATTTGTGTGCAAAATGTGCCGTTAGCATTTTTGCGGGAATTACGTCGATGCCAAATTGAAACGTGTGTTGAGAGCCAAAGCTGCTCTCTGCTCTGCTCGCTGGTTGTCGTTTTAATCGGCAGTGCAATAATTTAAAGTGCGCCTACAACAAATTTAAAGCACAGCCACCAGCATCTGAGTGCGTATTATTTGTTGTTGTTGTTCTTGTTGTTCTTGTTGTCATCGTCGCATTGTTTCTCATTTACGCGCGCAATTTTTCGGCTATAAGCCGTGTAAAAGCTTGCGTGCGTGTGTGTTTATTTGTGTGCGTGCGTGTGTGTGTGTTGTTTGTGTGTGTGCGCTGCAATTTGCGCCCAAATGATTTACCGTCTGATTGCTATCAGCGCATGCCGCAATTATGTTTTAATTGCCGCTAAATGGCTTACACACACCCGGATTAGCTGCAACCCATTGTGACAGCAGGTGAGTGTCCTTTCCCCCTCCCCTCCCCTCCCCTCCACCCACCCCCACTCCTCGCACACCTGTTCGGTGTCTTAAAAGTAGATTGAATCCTGCTGTGGCTGTTTTGGAATGCACAGCACAGCCTACAGACTATAAAAATATTTACGAGTAAATATACGCTTATGTGTATTACACTGAGCGAAAATATTAAGTAAAACAAACCAAAAGCGATTTTTTTGTCTAACTTTTAGCATTGTTATTCAAGAGAAAGCCAGTAAATTTTTCTCATTAAATTTATAATTTTGTCTCATTTTTCTTTCGGTGTAGGGAGCCCAGCAGCAAAGCCGAGCTGCGCTAGCTAAGCAAACATATGTTTGTTTGGGCGCTCATTTATTTATGGGCGGCGGTGCGGGGCGTCAAAAAATTTGCCAGCGCATGAATCATTCCGCCCCTCATCCCCTACACCCTCCCCCTACCCTGCCCCTGCAACAATGCGTAATATGAGAAGAGTCTGTGTAGCACGTGTTAGTGCTGGTGGCTGTGGCGCGGGGCGCCTTTTGAGTGACGCACGGTGTGGATACACTGGATGCGTTTGGCATAATAATGAAATAATAATGTCGCCTTTTGTTGCGAGGTGTCTCCTGCCTGCTCTCTCTTCCCCCTCTTTCTCTCTCTCTCTCTCTCTCTCCTGTAATACCAATAAATTAATGGGCCTGCCACATAAAAAGCACCACCCGCAGATCCTTCGTATTTTTGGTGTGTGTGTTTTGTTTGATTACAGCCTCGCATGACTTTTGCCACCAGTTGGGAGTTTGAGGAGTGGCTGCTCAAGGAGCAAACATTAGATTGGGTGCAATGTCAGCTGTTCGACAGTTGCCAAAACCCGAAAAGATTAACATCAATATTTCGAGGTTCACGCTGTTGTCTTAACACACAAAATGATGAGCAAAAGATCTGCTGATAAAATGCTAATCATAGGAACAATGTTGCCGCTGCCACGACAACAACAACAACAACAGCAGCTACTACAAGGATGTGCTGCCACACGCACCGGCTGCCACCGTTTCCTTATACATTTCGTTTTTTTTTCTTGTTGTTTTGTTTTTGCTTTGGTGGTGGCAAACTGCTTGAGCAAAACTTTTGCACTTACCACTTATACAAGTTGGTTTTTACTTCCCCATTGAGTTCTTCAAGTGGCCATCAGCACTTTGTCTTGCAGTTTGTCCAAAACAATTTATTTATAGAGTAGCACAACATAAAATAAATCGAATTGATTTGGTAAACTATAGCTATAAGTAACAAGTTAACAAAAGTATTTTATTTATATAACTTTTCTCAAAAGGTAAAATATATGCCTATTTTGTAATGAATTCTTTGAAATTAAATATAAAGCAATTACTTTACAGTTCTTTTTTAAACACACATCAAAATAGCTGAACTATTTAGGCTAGTGTATCAAAGTTTCGACTTGGCACATCAAAATTTTAGGGTAATTTTTTTGCGTTTCTTTTGTAACATTTTTGATTAGCTCAAACTTTGTTCTGGTTTGAGGGGAGGCTGTGTGTGTGTGTGTGCGTGTGTGTGTGTGTGCGTGTGTGTGTGTGTGCGTGTGTGTGTGTGGGTGTGTGCGTGTCTTGGGTTGGGGGTGCTTTAATTTTTGTTTAAACTTGACAGAAAACACCTCAGGCATTTGCTGGGGTCGAGTGTCTCTTTGTGGCTTTGACAGGTTTTGTTTTTTGGGGGAACGTTTGGCTACTTAACTGAGAGATTTTGCCAGGCAGCAGCAACAGCATCATATATCCTTGTTAATTTGCTTGGGGGTTGAACTTGTTGGATGCCCTTTCGTGTTCATAAATCATTATAATGCATTTTGTTGAGACAACTTGTCTCGGCCAGGTTGTTGTGGTCATTTCAATAACAAATTCATCAACATCACTTTCCTCATCCTAAGCTCGATAAATGACAGGTCACAAGAATCATAAACGAGACACGGCTAAGCCTTTTTAATGCGACTACCCTGCAAAAGGTATGATTAGGAATGATTATATGTATGCAATTATTATAGACTTGTAGCAGAAAAAAGCTTAGTCATTTTATAATAAATTTAATGAATGTGCCGCATCATATTTATGTCCTTAATACCCATAAGGAGTGTATTATAATGTTTTCGACTCCATAAAGTATATTTATGCTCGAGCCGAAATAGCCATGTACATGTTGTACAAAAAATCTTTCCCATATACGAACTGTACTATATAGCTTTCAAAGGATCAAACGTTTGATCGGTTTTTATATTTATAGCTAAATTTAGTTGACGCCAATTTGACTTTCCTTCTTGTTTTTCCTAAACTCGAAGCTAATTTAGTTATGTCAGAGTCCAAAATCAATAGCTGATTTTCTCCTTTTGTTTGACAGCATTATATAACCGGATTTCACTGGACAACCTTGATTATGCAGCTGTTCTAAATGAACAATGCCAATGCACATGACAATTTTTCGTATTTGTGTATTTTTCACGTACAACTTTTAGGTGTGTGCTCAATTATTCATTAAAGTCAATGACTGGACAGGCAGGGAGGCAGGCAGGCAGGGAGGCAGGCAGGCAGGCAGCGAGGAGGGAGTGTGTTGGATTTATATCCAGCACCAACACGTCAATTACAAAAGCAAATAGAGCAAATACACACACACACACACACATGCACAGCAATATTGGAAGAGGCGTTGCACCCTTCGCACAAATCACATTAAATATCCTCATGCTCATTAGGGAAGAGGGGGAGAGACGAGGGGTAGAGAGAGAGAGAGAGAGAGAGAGAGAGAGTGGTGCTGGTTGTGGTGCTGCTGCCGCCGGGACGCATTTCCACTTTCACTCTGCTCACTCGGGTAGACACAATGCGCCAACCCCCAATTGATAATGGTGAAATGCTGATGATGATGCAGTGCAGCAAATGCGAACCACCCCCGCAATCGCCGCCGTTGCCCTTCTAATATCATTTTGCAATTTGCACTTGGCAAATAAAGGAGTGATGCTGCGGCAGATAAAAACGTTACGTTTCCTTTGTTCTTGCCCCAGGGCCAACAACAATGTTGCCAGCGCTCCAACTTTAACGTATTTTTGCAACCGCTTACATCTCAATGGCCAGCGACTGCCAAGGGCAACTTGGGCAACTGGGGCTCCCGAGGCTCTCGAGGCCCCAGGCTCATAGCCCACACATTGTTAAATAAATTATCGCCTACATCGAAGCCATCGATAAATCGTATACGCTTTCAGTTTTATACCCTGTGCAGAAGTCCAATAAGTGGATTTGATGTATTAGCTGAGTATCCGTTGTATGACATTTCACAGATTTTTAAGTTTTGCTTGAGAGAAAGACAAATTGCTGCTTGTATCTCAGAGCTCGTATCTCCGCTGACCTTCATTATAAGCTGGCACACACTATATGTATTCTACATGCAAATCCCCTCATTTATCATTCTTGTCGCTCGGAGCAATTATCAATAAAGAGTTTTAAATTGTAACCTGAAATAACAGCTGTCTTAGATTCACCGAAGTTTACAAACTCCTCTAGAGCGGAGTCAACTTTCCATCATCTGAATTGTACCATAAACTTGAAGACGGACTGATTGTTCCTGATTGCCCACACATTAACTATATGGTATTCTGATCTTATTTAGTTAGTAATCCACATAGTGTGTAAGATTGGTTCGGGTATCGTGTTAAACAAAGTGGTTTTACATATAAGAACTCATCTTTCGACCGATTGTTTCATTCAGTGCTATATGATATAATGATTTAATCAGTAATGCCCATTTACATCAAGTTAATTGATCATTTATTAACTAAGTAACTAGTTCTCATATAAACAGATTTAGCATTCAAAATTTAAGTTAACTTCAGTTAAACGAAAGGTTTGCCAAGCATTTGTTCCACAACATACTCATTTTCAGAACAAGCCTATCCCCAATATAGGGTAGTCTACCAGTCTATCAAATAAGCACAAGTCTTATGGCA